CACAACAATACTGCATCATTATACGTGCAAAGTATTATTTGGTCTTAGTACTTACCAGGTAATGTAATGCTAACTAGGTTATGTCTTGATAGCATTCTAAGATAATTAGGCTATGAGATTGATCTATGAGACAAAACCGAATCGGCTGTCTTATAGTGTGTTTTATAGTTGTTAAACAAAAAGTTGAAACACTTTTTAAATGTTTACAAGTTACAATGTTTAATCACGATAAACATATTCACTAATTGAGAAAAAATAATGTTTTGAGCAGTGAAAAATATGAACAATTCCTTTGAATATTGCTAGAATGATGCATGTAACAGTAATGATGTTAATTTGAAAACTGTGTCAAGAGCTTTGTTGAATCTCCTCATCATTAATAAAAGCCAAGGATTGTTGTAGGCTTGTCGCGTAGCATTGTTGCCGAAACAAAGACACTCGTAACAAGGAAAACAATTCTTGTTTCGATTGATGTTATACTTTCGTAACATCTGTGAAAAATTTGGATTATGATGATCATGAAATGGTCATTTGAAATTATTTTAGCAAGACAAAATATTTACGCTGCCTTGTATAACAATAGCCCATGATAATAGTCCATAGTTCTAAAGGATACAACCATCCAGTAGTGGCTTATATGTGCTTCAGGTAAAACTGGGTGTATAGCTGGTTAGCTGAATGGCTGAGTAGGCATTAACAAAGCTACAAAAGACATTCAACTTTATTCTGCACTCATATTTGGACCACACACGTTGAAATCAGCATCATGGTGGCGTTCCACTTACTTCGTAATTAATAACAATAGGCTAATATAATTTACTATTGTCTAAAAAAACAACTACTAACTGGCCTAGTATCTGTATCGTGAGATGCTTACTATTAAGGTCTAAGTTCGAGTCCCACAAAATTCTCCAATTTAAGATAGGTCCCCACATTTATAATACAAAAAAGTTAGACCTCCCTAGAAGTTTGTACATTTTGGGGAACTCCCTTTCAATCTCATATGATAATAGTTCTTAATAAACTACTCAAACATGTTTAAATGTTTACGTTAATTTGTATCATAAACACAACTAGAGTTTCAACATATTTATGATATTCTGGATTGAGTGGGAAAGTTAAACCACTTGTGAATACAGCTTCAATTTCGTAGTCGACCGACCTCACTGTATGAGTGTATTTATCTGTTGTGACTACGCCATTTATTCCTACAAGGATGAACATTTGAAGTCCAAATAAGAATACGATTGTTTTATCATCAATATTAAAACATCAAAATAAGCTGCGTTAGCGTAATGATATATTATTAGGGGATAAACTGTTTGTTAGAAATAAATTAGTTTAAACAATGATTTGAGGACTTAGACTTCAGCTTGCAGATACCTGGTTTATCGTGATTTTTTGTTGAACCAGATTTCCATCGTCTAAGGTGACTTTGGGGGGAAATTTGTAAGTTGAATAGATTTAAAGATTACTCATAAAATAAAAATAAGTTGAGTTTTACCAAAAACGTTACAGTCCTTAGTTGAATTTTACTTAAATTTGTTCAACATATCGATGTAACAAATTTATTAGCTTTATTAATGTACACAAACGCTGGTAAAATCAAATTCATATTTCATTTGTGCTAAGGATTATTTTAATGTTATACGTCATACAGAAGTGTTTTTTCAGCCACACTTGATTAAATTAGTTTTGTGTTGAAAACAATGCCAGTAATGGTTGCTTCTTAGAATTTGTATTTATCATTCAGTATGCGCCTGGCCAAGTCAACAAAAGCATGGGGACAAAAAATATATGGGTTTTAAAATATATTGTGAATGATGTAAAAATTCACTATTGATTATAAAATAAAAACTACACTTTGAGCAACTGAACATAACAATACGGCGTGTGGTCTAAGGGAACGATTTGGATATGCGTCATAATACTCATGCTAAAATCAAATATTACAACATTTGTTGGGTTCACAATAAACATTTGTGTTAGTTTTCTAGTGGCATACTGAAACCACCTCAATATTATATATTTGGATTACTCTTATATCTATGGATCAATTCAAGATTCAATCAAAGAAATACAAAACCAATAAACAAAAGCTCTTGCAAAATCCATATCTAAAATATATATCTTTGTTTTATCAAAAAGGTCCAAACTGTATCAATGTATCTGCTTCCAAACAGAGCAAGGGCCTCTTCAGTATTCAACGAGCCGTTAAGTTATCGACATCTGCTAACAATGTTTTCATTCGTGAAACTCTCAAAATCCAATTGTTAATGTTATCGTTGAGTGAATAACGGATTTAAACATTCATGAGCAAAATATGTATGTTTTTCGAGCACACAAATCTTGTTGGGGCATTTTGCATCGGGGAAAACCCTAAGCCCCTTTAGTCTGTATGATGCAACTATCACATAAGACCATATATGAACTGTCCCCTTCCCCTAACCCATCCTATTTGGGTATAGACCAATGGTTTAATCAAGCCCAGGGAAATTTCCAGGTAGATGGAGTGTCAGGAGACATGTTCCATCATACAGACTGTATTTTTAGGAATATTCCTTGTGTTCTTGTGTAACTGTGTGATATGTAAGAATAATTTCACTATCTTTAAACAGATAGATTGTTAGTGCGTAGAGCCTTCTGTCTGTCCTTTTATTATGTTACTTTATTATTAATTATACCTAGTATCAAAAATGTCAATATCTTGGGATGTTTAATTTAGGATTCATTTAAGAATACACCTATTTTATTTTACACATCTTTTATTTAATATGTAACACAGGCAAGTTGCATAGCTAACCCCTCCCCGTCTATTTCTTAAGTGTATAAACAGTTATCAATGATTTTATAATATTTTTGTGCAAGAAAAAGATTTCACTTACTAAACTCCAGTCTGTAAAATGGTATTATTGTACATGATCAAATTCGAATAACCAACTTTACCATTATGGATACATTAAAATTGCCTGTATTCTTCTTTTTTTTCAAATATCAATTATTCCAATGTACAGTATTTGGATTAAAATTTAGACTCTGTCAGCCCGTTTGTTTGTAAATACAGTAGTACTGTATTTTGTGATAGTCAAATTCGTATGAATAATTTCATTATGTTGAGATTAATGCCATGTTCCCAAAATGTGTGAATAGTATCATCAGTATAAATAGTACCGACAATGTATCTAGGTTTTACCTTTAAAAAATATCATAGATAATGTAGTTTTAAAATTTTTTAAACATTATCATTGTGAAATAGGGACGCCACCTAGATGAGTATTTTGACCCAAATATGAGTGAAGGATGAGTAGTGATCAAGTGACTACCATCAGATGTTCTACTAAGACATAAGGTGATACTAATCACCTGAAATGTCATTGATAATCCTACTTAGTAAGTTGAACAAAATTTGCAGTGTTATACCACGATAATTTCATACACAACTACGGAGTATACAAGTGAATTATTGCAGTTTCCAGTTAGTTAAGTTACCAGTATGGCGTGACAAAGTTGATCTATATGAGGATCTGATGTCGGCGTGCTCTTGGAAATATTACTTTTCCTCATGAAAACTCAGTGTAAAAACAACCAAATGGCTGTTTGGTCTAGTGATTATTTCAGCTATATATGAATTACGTACAGTTTATTTCTAAAATGATGTATGATCTTCAACAATCTTACAATGAATTATTCTGAAAACTTCTGATATATATTTTTAAGTGTAATAAAAATTTGTGTGTGTTGTTTTTGTGTGGAATTAGTAAGAAAATTCATGATCGGTTTGAGTTTTATCAAAATCTCAACTTTTCAAAGGAGGCAAATATTATAAAGTTGCATTCATCTTGGTTTATAAAATTATAAACCACATTTCCCGAAGTACGGCAGGATTTAAACATGTTACAATACTGAAGGTGTGCGGTGTATTTATATTAGAGAGAAAAAGTCGAGGGTTTTGGTATAAAAGAGTATAATTTATTACGTGAAAAATGAATGCGTGATGTTATGAGCGGTGTATCGAGACGAATGAACGCAACAATGAAAATTGACATATGATAATGTGATGGGAATTACAGATGGACTGTTAAGAACAGAGACATATAAAATTAATTAAAAAATACCCCCGCCGCAGCAAACCTGCCGACTAAGCGAATTTCCATTTGTCTGAATTGATTTTCAATTAAATTTATTTAAATAACATTAGACTTAATGAGTACCTAGGTTTGCTGCTACAAGAAAACTAATAAAGTGTATTTTTTAGTAAAATATTAATAGCCTAGTGTTAAATAAATAAATTTGCCAAATTTGATCAAAATATATCCATAAACAAGCAAAATACCACAGTTTACAATATTCTCCATAAGAATAACATGGGAATTTTAAATTTACAATTTTTGAATTTTCTCCGTTACCAATAATTGTACAAAAACACTTTGATATACTAAATTATTTGTTTTTTTAAGCTCTTTAAAAAGGTCTAGAGAGAAATTGGGTAATTTTGTGTTTTGAGGGTCAAAAATGAGAAAAACCATTTTTTACCCCATAAAACCTCCCGTAAAACCCCGTTCCCATGGTCCGATCATGCTGGTTCGCGAACTCATTCAGGTTTATCCTGCCTTACACCTTTAAACCAAATTTCATCAAAATCGGACAAAAATTACTCAAGTTATCGCGTTCATGGACGTATATATATATATATATATACATATATAAAAATTTGAACGAATGGTGTTTTTGGTCTCTAGGGACATCAAAATGAATAAGTAAATCGGTCCCGGGCAATTTAATCTTCGAAATAAGTAATTTTGTGAAATGTGTATTTTTGTTGTTGAAGTACAACAAGCAAAGTCATGTATTCATAATAACCATGCTATAGTTAGCTAACAAGTTCTCTTGTATCATTAAAGTCCAGAAAGATCCCTTCTAGCCACGATAGCTTCTGCCTCTCTTCTACAGATAATTAAGACAGTTTCCCTCCATTTCTGTATAGTTTCCCTGGTTTTCAGATGAGGGGCGACATGACCTAGTCGTGATGGTGCAGACAGGATCAGCTGCTCACCATGAGCCGCGCCCTGGACCCGGACGAGCCCGAGGAGGTAGGAATTATAGCATACTAAAGTAACAAGTAGGAAGTAAAGGGTAGCAATTAGAAAGTATACAGAGTGGAAAAAGTCCCGTGGTAGAAAAATATCAAATAAGAAATAATCATAGAATTACAAAGCTTGGAACAAAGTCACTGTATATAAATGTGATTTTAACCAAATATTCAGTGATACCTCCTCAGGTGGTGTTCCGTTAGGAATCAGAGGAAATAGATTAAGTATGGGTTGATATACACATAAAATTAAATGTACTTATTAGTAAAATACAATGCCACAAAACCGAACTGAAACGGACAACCGATGTCGTTGAAGGATTCAAATTTTAAATTACAAGAAACCTTTCAACGGCCGTTACTTTTGACTTGGTTTCCATTTGGGTTAGGTTTTTTTGCATCATATTTGACTAACACATACCTTAAATTTTAATTGCATATTGACCTATGCTTACACTAAAGATGTTCTAACTCCTAGTGGGCAGTCCCTCTAAGGAGGTAGCGTATCACTGAATATTGTGTAAAAATCATTTTATGTCCAGTGATTTTGTTCCAAGCTTTGTAGTGTTATCTAGATTTTTTTATTTAGCTGTACCGGGTCTTTTCCCCACCCTGTCCAATTGTAAGTATAACAACTGTATTTTAATTTTTGCCTCGAGAAATGAAATTTTTAAAACATTTGATGATTTCCCCTTATCCATGTGTTAGATGTTTTGTAACGGTGTGTGTTTGTTATTTGCGAATTTTATGATCCTGTGTAATTTAAAAGTTGGAGGAATAACGCTCGGAAACTAATAATTTATTTAAAAAGAATTGGATACAGTAGTATATTTTCATCAACAAAAGATATATAAGCAACATGTCTTTTGTTTCGAAATGGTAATTGCAACAATTATTATGCAAGAAATACCTCGCAAACGTGTACCTTAAAGGACAAAATCGCCCAAAGTATGCTTCTTTTAAAACAAATCGTATTTTTAGTTTGATCTTTTCGTAATGAAAAACACATTTCGATTTTTTTTACTACATCAAAGTCTCTAATTTACTTGAAGGCTACAACCTTCATGTAAACATAAATTTGTAAATGTAGTATACAAATGTAGTTCACATTGTATAAAAAGTAAAGTAATGGTTGATAACATAAATATTTTAGATGATACAGTTTAATGAGGAAATTAACTGTCACGTTAAAAATGTAAAATGTTGACAGTGTAACTTGAGATGTGTCACCTGTTACTCTCAGACAGGCTTGGCTAATGAGCCTGTTGCTTTAACTGACGTAAAAGAGGTAAAACAAACGTTTTGCTAGATTCAATTAAAATCGAATACTTTGCATTAGTTTTAAAATGCCTGGTTACTGCAACAGCTACCGATATACAACAATCCTAACGGATGTGAAGGTTAAATGTGAAAAATGCAACGATAAGAAGTAAGTAAATTAAAAAACGTAAAGGACAGGACAGCGAATATACTTTTTCAGGTTGAAATTTATAGTTATCTAAATTCTGTAAATGTTTAGGTTAGGTAAGGTTGAATTATACTAGCTTATGTATTAGGTTGGGGGCTAGGTCATGCTATAACCGGTGCATTACCTAAAACTTCAATTGTGAATTGTTACATACAAACTGTATGGTGGTAGTCGCAAGAATATAAAATACTCTTATAATCTTAACATAATCCTATATTATACTCTAATATGAGCAATGTTTGCTTGTATGTATCCTTGTATCCTTGTATGTATGCATGCGCAAAGATCTAGTAAACCGCTTCGACGATTTCCTTCAAATGTTGTAATTTCTTTCTGGCCTGTAAATGTGTTTACTGCAGTTAAAACAATCAACAAAAATTGAATTACATAAACAAATGAAATTAAAAGTTAAAAATCTTAACAGTAACATTCATATGGGTTTCCAAGTAATCATGTCATGGCTCGGTCCCCAGGTACTGTATATTAGTAATAAACCTTATTTGTTCTCAAATGATTAAGCTCAACATTCAAAGTCGCTTTAAAGAGAAATAATTAAATATAAATTATTCTCACAGAGTGATTCATAGTCGTAAATCACATGTTTCAGCCAGGGCTTTAGGGTGATATGAAATGTCAGCAGGTGTTAGAATGTACAACGGGGTATGTAAGGGATGAAGAGGAGAGAGGGGGGAAAGTTGGTGAGAGGGGATGAGGGGGAGAGGGGGAGAAAGGCAGAGGGGAGATTATCCCTTATTAACTGTGACCGTATATGTCATATTACATGGCTGCTTAACCAAACTTGGCATTTGCGAGGTTTAACCTTCTGTTTGACTTTGCACATGGATCAACACTTCAACTTAATCAACATTGCATGAATAACTTGTTTAGTTTAGGGTTCTTGTTAGTTTAATTATTTTAGAAAACGTATTTTTTATTTATGTTCAATATTTTATAAACTCACTACACTTCATTTGCCTAGTATTTTTAGAAATAAAGACCGATTCAGGTGTTAAAAGTATGTTGTTTGTGTTTTCGTAAGGAGATAACCCAATCATATCGTATTACATCAATAAAAAGACTCTCGTTGAGATTATTAAATGAATATGTGTTATAAAGGTTAGTTTCTCATTGAGGTTTGCAATAACATATAATTAGGGGTAAAATAAATTCAAGGGGGTTTGAAAACTACACTTGTTATCACAGTTTACTTATTATCAAGGTTCCACTGTTTTAGTTTTTCTAAATTCGTGTTAGGCTTTATTTTCTAAGCCAGGGTAGTCATAATCAAAAGTAAAAAAATTGATAATCACTATTTGCATTTTTCAAACTGTATATCGATTTTTGTAGGGAGGATAAAACCCTCAGAACTTTTTTGTTTTTATATACGTCTTAGGTTTTGAGCCACTGGGTATTTTTCATGAAAAGGTACAGTGCATATTTTGATTTGTTACTCTTTAGAAATACATAACCATAACCAAAATTCTTGTCGTATAGCTTTACTCTGAGAATATGGATTATGTAGAACTAATTGTTTTCTACATTGGTGTTGGGCTCCGAGCCACTGGGATTATTGATATGATTAGCCAAATATATATGATTAAAATATCTTACATAAGAACAAAATAATTAATATTGTATTGATTTATAGTTTGGTTAGGAAAACCTTGTTAACTTTAGAATAGTTAGATCCCAGAAACGTACGGAGAAAATCAACCCTCTTTGTTTTGTTTTATTACATGCTGATACGGGTGGAGGAATTACCAAGGAACTTGGAATCTTTAATCCAATTAATAGTTCGTCGCCAAACATTTTCACCTAACAAATTTGGTAACTAAAGCTGGGGTAAACAGTGTGGTGAGTCTATTAACCACTGGCACTGGGCCAATGTAATCTGGGTAAGCTATGCCTGATTGCTGTCATAACTGTTTTTTTTTCTACTGATCATCTTTGGGGAGGCCCCAAGATCGTGTATAATCAACAGTGTTTTAAATGGTGACTTTCCATCAAATCCATAACATAAAGGAAAATCTGTGTTCAAAATAACGGCCAGAAAGGTTTGATTTAAATTTAGTATGTATGGCATTTATATTACGTATTTTGTAAAATATTTAGTAGATTAGTTAAATTAGTTCAGTTATTTTTAGTTTTTACATATTTTGTAAAATATTTAGTAGTGGTATTACCTATTTAACCCAGATCAAAATGGTTAACCCTCACTGCTGTCAAATTACGATTCAAAAGTTATTGCAATTTTGTCTAAATTTCCCCATAAAACCTACTGGTTCTTTTCTGTTAATTCAATACCACTACTATTTAATTGTAATTTTGATATTTTTAACAGTTAGCAGTCTATGAAAATATCAATGATAAAATGAAACTATTCCAAAACCTAAGCAACCAAACTTCTGATTATGAAAATATCAGGTAGTGAATAAACAAAATTGCAATAAATAAGTAGTTGTAGAGAATTAACGGAAAAGGACCAATTTACTCCCACCGCTTACCCATGATGGGGGCTATTCACAAGCGAACAGGAGAAAGTGTGTGCCAGATTGCGGATGCCATTTGTTTATATTACAATATATATCAATTTATTCTTATATAAGGAAGCTGTAACTTAAACATTGAAACATGCTGTAAAATTTAAAATAAGTTTAATTGGTTGAAAGAGAGGTTCCCGTGCACTCCTTTGAAGAGAGGTTACAGCTGTTGACACGGTTATTGGTTGCTTAGAAACCAATCACTTGTCTAGTAACCATAAACCTGTAACAAAAGTTAATTGATTAAAATACTTACTTAAAAGAATCAAGTTGTATGATGTTCTGTGAATTGTCCCACCAAAAAGTTAAATTATTTCCCATGTTGATGGTTTGTTTTAGATTGTATATGCTAACCCCAACCAAAATTACATAATACAATAACTAGCTTAAATAAATGTACATGCAAATTTGCAGACGGAACATTTTTCTGAGACAAGAATAAATAACTCCGCTGCATTAATACTGCAGACTAACTGTTAATACTGCTTTCCAACTTTCCAATCATTTTCACTAAATATCTGCAATGTGAGATTAATTTTCCATTTAAATAACACTAGGCTTAACGCGTACTTAGATTTGCTGCTATGGGAAGGTAATAAAGTGTATATTTTGTAAAATGTCAATAGTACAGTACAAAATAAATAAATTGGCAAAATGGCATAAAAAAAACAACACAATCGAGCAAACTACAATAATAATCTTAGGTGAATGAATAGTGTATAGACCAGCAAGTATACTTGGGTTGGCATTTTCTGCTCCATGCTCTCTGGTTGACAAGCTCATGACTAAACTATTCACAGAAATTGGAATATTTAACATCTATTGAACGACATATTTTTGAATATAGTGCCACTCACATTTTCACAAATATCTACACCTTTTAAAACGCAACATTTTCCGTTTGTTGGCATACAGTCTGTATATTAAACATGTATCCGTTTATAAGTCTATCAGAGTGATACTTTTTTATTTTATATTGCCCCAATATTACCT